TGTGGGTCCTCAAGAGAAGAAACTAAATTCACAACAGATGGTTACAACTTTCAGGCTGGAAACCACAAAGCAGGTGAATCACCAACAGCTCAGGAAAACTCCTGCCAACGTGGCATTAATCAATAACCACAACGGTATTCCAATCAACCACTGACAGGTGGTGGAAAACACGGAGGAAGGATGGTGACAGAGTTAGCCCTCCTCTGCGACTTTCCTGTTGCCTATCAGGGTCAATTTTCCCCTTCCCACCCCATGAGTGCCACTCTGAGGACTACTGTCCACTCCCAGAGCTTGCTTTCCACCGGCCCCTCCCACGTCTGCAAGGAGTCAGGTGAGCTGGGAAGCACTCCAAGTCATTACTGACTTGGGCACCAGACCTAGCTCTAATATCATAGTTCCTTTCCACCTGCTCTTCTTGTAGTTCCATGACAGGACAAAGTTTAAGATGAGAACAAGTGTGTGTAGATTTTTTTTTCTTAAAAAAAAAAAAGAAAAAAAATAGGTTGTTATGTAGCCCCGAGTAGTCTTGAACTGTGAATTTTGGTCATGCACCACCACACCTGGCTGTACATATGGCTGATTGCAAATGTCCCCATTTGACAGATGCGCAGCAGTATTTGGATAAAGGAAGAGGTGTTTGCGTAATGTGGGCAGCGGCTGGAGGCTAAGAGAGAACAGGTGATTCATCTGTAATCAGGAAGGAAAAGCTCGCCAGGTGATATGCCCTGCAACCATCTCTCTGCCCTTCTGAACCACCCCAAGGCGAACACACACAGCCCTGGAAATGCCCCATAATAAGAGCAGTGCACAGTGACTCTTGTAAAGAAATGGTCTGAAGTAGCTAGATTCATAGGACCCCAGCCAGGAACCGAGAGGTTGAAACTGCATTGACCTCTACTACCCTGGGACAGCAGTTCCTGCCACCAGCAGGGGGCATCCCAAGGGTAGGGTTATTTTTTTCCTTAACCAAGCAGAAAAAAAGGAAATTTTACTAGAAACCCTAGAAACCAATATAAAATCTGGGCCTAAGTCGTCACAGAACTGAACACAACGAAGAAAGCAATATTCTGGCAGCGAACCTCTTCTACCCAGCATGCCAAGTTATCATCTGGGACTGGTTTCAATAGCAGCTTTGTGGCCCAGATGGCCAGCACTGCCACCCGACAGCTAGTTCCCAGCTTCAGATAAAGCCTCTGTGTGTCTCTATGCAAGTCTTACCTTGAACCTGAAGCCCTGGATCTTCGTGTCGTTTGGAGGTCAGACAACCCTAAGTTTCAAGCCAGGAGCCCAGAAGAAACCACTTCCCTCTGATTATTCTGCCGGATGCCCGAAGCTCTCCCAAGCTTTTGCTTGAAAGTGCAAACAATTTACTCTCCTTTCACTCCTCGGAGGACCGGAGGACCACTCATCCCCGTCCTGACACCAGCACCCCTATTCCAGCCGGAATCCACTTTTCCCTCATAGGCTTTTCGGGATGGTTAGTCCTAACTGTCAACCTCACTCGTTTCCCAATCACCTCAGACACATACCCTGGTGTGTCTGACAGGGTGTTGACCGAGCAGGGAAGCCTCACTCCGAATGTGGGCAGCATCGTCCATGAGCGGGAGTCCTGGGCTGAACAAAAAAGGAAAGGGGGGAGAAAGCAAGCTGGGAGCCAGCATTCATCTTTCTCCGCTTCCTGTTCATGTGCTATTACCCACCACGGCACAATCGTGCCGCTGTGACTTTCCTATCATGGTGAACTGTGTCTCCTCAAACCACCACACACTAGCGCCACTGAGCCAAACCCTTGCTTCCTTAAGTTGCTCGTCAGATATTTTGTAATAGAAACTACAAAAGTAACCAGTTCCCCCCTTACAGCCACCGCCAGACAGACAAACCACAGCTACGGAGTCTCTCCTCCTCCCATTTCTTCTCCATACACCCCAACGTGTGTGTGTGTGTGTGTGTGTGTGTGTGTGTGTGTGTGTGTGTCTGCCTGTCTGTCTGTCTGCCTTTACACACTGACTTGTACATACGCCAAAAGTAACCCGTATTGGGTGAGAGGATACATGAACAGTCCACTGTCTGGACAGTGGTTGGGTGGATTCTGAGGACGGAGACAGGAAAGACATGGGGAAGACGTGAGACAGAACCTACACACCTGTGAACTTGATGAGACCCACTCTGATCTGGGCACAGCAGAAGTTTCTACTTGACTACTTCTGGTAACACAGGCTGGGGAACTTGCCTGGGTGCTCAATATTAATTAGGAACATAAGGCAGATGGGGCTTCAGAGAGCGGATGAGATCCTGGGTTAAAACAGAGGCACAATTCTAACCGCAGTGATGGCTCCAGCTTGCAGGACAGAGTGGATTTCACTCACCTCTTTACACTGTCCTTCCTCAACCACCATCCACAAGGGGCCCGTGTGCTCTTTCTGTCGTCCTGGTGCTGAAGTTAGTGACCTAGGACTTCTCAGCAGCCTTCATCCATTCCTCTGCTACTTCTAAAAGATGTGCTATGCAACTTTATTTTACACAAGAACTACCAGCAGATTTCGCAGGAGAGGAGTCATTTACAGGGTGGGAGGATTAGAGGAAAGGAGATGGATAGGAAACAGCTGCTTTCTCCTCACCACTAAACCAAGCTAATGACGCCTACCCAGGTGCACACACCTTCCTCTCCCCAGATCCCTAGGGTTGTGATGAGGCAAAGTGAGGGGACAGAGGATCAGGCAGCTAGAAAGATAGCTGATTAAGAGTCAAGTAGATACTGGCTAGTTCATCCCCAAATCTGGAACCATCCTTGGTGCCTTTCCTCACGAATAAACTAAGTATAAATAATCAACAAATTATAGAGCAGTTCGAATTAAACCAAACAGGATTATAGTAAAACGCCTGCACACGTGGCAGGGTGAGTGACAGCTCTGTCTTTTCACATTAACCTTAGTCTGAAAACTCTCTCTCTCTAACACACACACACACACACACACACAGAGAGAGAGAGAGAGAGAGAGAGAGAGAGAGAGAGAGAGAGAGAGGCATAAACAAGAAAACCATAGTCAGCAGCTGTGACTAGAAGCCCACACAGTCTTTGGGAGCTTTTATGAATTGATCAATATTAATTACCAACTGATGGCTACCAATAACTGATCAGTGATAGTAAGTGATCAATAATCTATCTTTTCAGCTCTGCCTGTGATTACTGTGAGGTTTTCTTTTCCCCTCCTTTCCCTCGACTATATCACCAGACAGCTACCATTATGCAGTCAGGAGCCATCAATGCCCACTTTCCAGTTCCTACATACACTTCAAGTGACTTCTAAGCTTGCCTCTATTTACCTTCACAAGAAGGGGTACTCCACAGGAAATACAGTTAGCTTTAAAAAAAAAAGTATTGTTTTGTCTAACATTAAGGGTTTGGGTTTTTTATTTAAATCTTAGTATTTTTTTAAAACCATGTACGTATAAGAGTCCTAGTTGTAAGAGTCAAGCAATATGTGTAATAGCAGTAAGAAAAAAGTACGGGGGGGGGGCGGTCAATGCTATTTCAGGAAACTCTGGCTTCATTTGGTTCAAATGTGCTGGTTGTAATGTAAATTTAATTCCACATAGCAGGTCGAAGTCAAAAAAAAAAAGTTTGAAAGTCAGTGGAATGAGGTGAGGAGGCAGACAGGAACCAAATGGACTCGAGTTCTTCCCACAAACCCTGCCACTAGGAATGGGGCTGTCGCCTTAGTTAGGGACCATGTATGCCTGTTTGCGGGCTCAGAATCTTTGACCACAGTTAAGCCGCTCTTCCGAGAAGCCACCAGTTCCCATCACATCTGGATCCCTTTCACAGAATCCAAATCTTCCTACCATGCATACCTTCAGGGTAGGAAGACTGGTTTCTGGAAGTAGGAACTCCCAGAAAGAAGAAAACACTTCCTTCCTTCACAAACACCAAATCCTCACTCCAGCAACTCCAAGGGGAAAGCTGGGAGGACGAATCTGGGCGTTCCTCCTCCTTCAAATGTGAAGCGGCACAGCGGCTTGGGGATTGCGATGCAGAGCCCACAGCCCTTGCATTCACTTTTACCCCCCCCCCCATTCGGAACCGCCCATTGTGGCAACGCACACCCCCCCCCCCCGCAGTGGGTGGTTAGGGTAAAGACGGTGTGACATAACCAGTTAGTTCTCCTAGAAAGACAGCCTGCCAGAGAAGGCTTCTCCAGCTCCATCTCCAAATGCTCCCACGTTAATTCCTCAAAATAAAGCCTTCGGAGAAAGTGAACTTGGCGCCTAGGAAAGTTACCTCGCTGGAAGCAACCAGCACAGAGCAGGGTCTTTCAGGACCCGCGTGGGAGGCGACTTAAGCGGGGGTGGAGAGTGGGGGTGGGTTCCCTCCTCTCGGCGTCGAAAGAACCTTCCAGCTGAGCAGGAAAAAGAGAGAAAACAAAAGCCAACGTGCCCGCGGCCACAAACCAACCCTCCCGTACTGAAACGGAGCAAGCGGGAGAGCCGGAGAGCCGCGAAGAGGCACCGGAGCGCAGCTGAGAGCCGCGGCGGGACGGGGAAGCGGGCGGAACAAAGCCCCCAAGATCCCCGGGTTCCCATCTGGGGCACAGCGCCCCCGTGCCCCGGGACCCCCGGGCGCGGAGGGATGCAGGTGTGTGCAGGGAGTGCGCCTCCAACGGGTCCTTCCCCCGCAACCTAGCGGGCGGTCGCCCTCCCCTCCCAACCATCTCTCCAGCCCTAAGCGTCTCTCACCCGAGCGGGGATCGAAGGTGACCACGAACACAGCCACCACCTGGTCCTCCTCCACGTCGCCCAGCTCCAGACGCCCGGGCTGCAGCAGCACTTCGGGGGGTGCTGGCTCGTCGGGTTCCCGCCTTCGGGGCGCTTCCGCGGCCGCTCGGCCGCTCCCACCGCCGCCCCGAGCCCATCCTCCCGCCTGCAGCGCGGGGTCCTGCGGCACAGAGACCGCGGGGCCCTCGGCCCAGCGCAGTAGCGGCGCCGCGTCTCCCTGCTCCACCATGGCGAGGCGAGGCGGAGCCGAGGCGCGAGGGGCGGGGCGGGCTGCGGGCACTCCCCTCCGGGCCTGCCCGCCCTGCCGCTCTGCGCCGTGCGGCCGCTCTCTTGGTGCCCGCCGGGCTTGGCCACACCTGCCCCTGCCCCTGCCCCTGTCCCAGCCGATGGGCATAGCCCGGAAGCTCGCGAAAGTGGCCCGCTCGGGATCCGTGCCCCAGGGCCTGGCCTGGGCTTCAGTTCTGCATCTCTGTATGTGGGTGCTCTTGACCCAGAGTGTTGGGTGCAGGGCGGACATCCCTTAGTCTGTCCACCTGCGCGTGGGTTGAAGCGCCTTGCCACCTAGGATTCCACAGTGAATTTGTGTACGTCACCATTATTTTTAAGGACCGGAGCACATATATTATATAATCCTGAGAGCTTGGTGAAAGCTGCTTCCAAGTCAGGAAGTAAAGCAGAGGACAGCTGACTTCCCAGATGTTTCAAATCTACACATAATTCAGGATTGTAGGGTGACTGATTGGGATAACACTGGGAATTTATTTCCTTGTGTATGTGCCATTTGAAGATATTAAGTTGGATGGTTATGGGTGTTGTTCTACATTAAAAAGAGCAGAAAAAGAAGTCAGAGGAGTGGGGGAGGTCAGTCCTTATGCCTGTGCCTTTAGAAAGTAAGGATTGCCTAGGAACTCCCTTTATATTAACAAATAAAATTTTGAATGTCCCAACTTGGGGGGGGGGGGAGGTGTCAACCTGGTGACTAGCTCAGAAGTATGCAAAAGAAGCCATTAAAATCATAAGAAAAAAAATAAGATGGCAAGAGACAATTACATAGATACACAAGTCACCCCGCGTTTCAAGAAGGCCCAGTTTCAGACAAGGACTTGGTGGGTTTCTGTGTTACCTGTTATTCCAGGGACCTTTGTGAAGCTCATGGTCTTCCTGCCAGGGATGCAATAATAATATGCTTAATCCTAGTCTCAAGAGAGTCATCAATGACTGCCCACAGCTGCTGCTAGTTCCAAATATGAGACTTGCAATTTAACATTTTACCAAAAAAGAGTAGGGATTGCTACCATCATCATTAGTTAGTTCAGCCTGACTCCCATCCCCTAAAGACATGTGGAGTGGTCATCGCACTCAGTTAATGAGGTCATTCCTGAAATGGGAGTTCAGAGACATACAATCCCAGCCACAGCCAAGACACAATCCAGTTTTAATTCGAGGGCACACCAGGCTGGGTTATTCACAAACTCTCAAGGCCATACACCAATATGTGAGAAAACTGCGCCACAGCCAAAGTTCCTGAGGTTGAGACATACAATATTTTATTTTTTTATTACAAAATGGGGGTTGGCAAATAATCCTTAACCTTTCCAAAGTCACCAGTTTTAGGGGAAATGGATTTTTTCTTTCTTGAAAAAGACCCTTTCTTGATCTTTTATGGCAATGTGTGCCTCTACCAGCACCCCCTAATATAATGTCCTAGGACTATATATACACCCATAAATGTAACTTCCAGCTCTCTGTAGATGCAGAAGAGCGAAGTTTCCAGACTGACAGCCATGTTCTGTCTTCAGCATAGTCTAGTCTGCTGACCATGGAGCCCAACAGTATGTTCCTAGTGCTTTGCATGAAGTTGCTCAACAGATATCCGTCAACTCAGGAAGTGAAAGCAGAGACTTGGGCTCCCAAGCCATAGGCCCTCTTGCCAGAATTTATTTAGTATCTTGCAAGTGGTAGGTGCACCAAGATGTTAGTGATGGTGCCAGTGCTCTGCTTTAGTGTACACATTCACAGTCTGAAAGATGTTTTTGATCCTGACCACCAGATTGATCTCTGTATCTACTGAGCTGTCATATAACAATACAGAGACATTGAGTTTAGCTGTTAGAGCCGTTCTGCTTGGGAACAAGTATTTGAAAAACCATGGGAGAAAGGCCATGATACCAGAGATACTTGCCTGAGGTAATGATATTTCAAAACAGGTTCACCTAGAACACCATGTCTAAATTTTAAAATAAATCATTTACTTTCTCAAATACTAACTATATCTGCATTACATAAAGTACAGAATGTTTTTAGTCTACAGCCTCAATGTAGATGGTAATTGTAAGGACTTAAATTGTCCGATCTCATCAATTCTAGAACACAGAGTGCATTTGTGTTTAACCACGCTGTGATGTCTTGACAATTGTCACTGAGGTCTGGTTGTCACAGAAGAGATTTCTGGTTGCTTTGTCAGCCATGGGGAAGAGCCAACCTGAGACTAAGCTGAGTCAAAGCCCTGCTTGAAGTCTCTTGGATAGGGCTGGCAGGGTGACTTCCAAGTGAAGGCTAGCTCAAATATTGGCTTGTAATCCAAATCCTTTGTTGAGATTTTTCATTCCTCTCCCTAGGGACGAAGCGGAAACAAGAAGTTTCCTTATCTAGCCCTCTTTGTAGGAGGCTGCTTTTACTGGTTTCCATGGCCATACGGGCATGGAAGTGTAAGGGCTTGTCTTAAATAGATATTTATCAGAGATTTCCTTTCTGTGGTTGCTTGTTGACAGTCTGTGTTGGGTTTGTTTTCTCTTTCTCTTTACATCAGATCATGAACATTTTGGTATCCTATAAAGGAAAACTACATGCATTATTTTGGTGGCTAGTGTTATGTGAGAGTCGGATAATTTATATCACCATCTGTCATTGTCGGAGAGTAAAGCTCTTCCCCCTTCTGCTGTGTCTCAAGTTTTGACCGAATTTCACACTTACCGTAAAGCTCTGTAACCTTCAGCCCTGTGCACATACTGGGAAAGATGTGAGAAAGACAGATGTTTCTCAGACTCATTCCCCAGCAGGGAAAGCAGCTATCAGGCAATTGGTAAAACGTGGGACGAGGATAGACAATCAGTCACCACTAACAGCTCGAGGTGGCCGACTGGGTTCAAGTGCATTTTCTCTTACGGTCTTGATTGTTGTATGCTTGTATTTTGTGACTGCATTTTTTTTTCAAAATATATGCTAGAAATTTGTGTTTCCTCTTTAGAACATGCATGTCCATTTAATGTCTTAATCTTACTCAGTCTTGTTATCATGTGAGACTTAACATTTCCCACTGAATAGCCTATATTTGTATGTACTTAGGGAATTATTTCTTTAATTCCTTTGAGTTGCAATTCCTTTATAACACAATGCTTAATTACTGTATTTGCTGATTATGCATTTCTAGCCATTATCTATTTTTACACTCCAACTACACCCATGGGAGGCCCTGGAAAGTCTTAGGATAAGAACATTATGATTCTATTTACTCTTGCCCATTAGCTGCTAGATGCAGAAAAGAGTACGTGTAGTGAGGTACTGGATCCCTGTTATGAGCCTGACGTCTTCAGCGAAGAGGCATGGGGGTGGGGGAAACAGAGACGGGATTTCAGAGAAAGTGAGTCGTTCTCACATGAAAACAGTGCAGAAGGAGGGGTTGAGAGGAGCCTATTCAACAGGCTGAGCAATCTGTGGTAAGATCAATGAGAATCTGAAGTTCCAGAAAGAGGACTGTGATGTAGTTATAAATACCAGTGCTAGTTGTCTGTGGATAGACGGCATCTCTAGTAATGACACTGTGGAAGTGGGTTCAGACCAGTTTTAGAGGACTGAGCCCACTGAACTCCATATTGAGAGGCCAGAACTGGAGAGAGGTCATTCCAACACTTTATGGATCAGATTTTAAGATACATGTGTAATTATTTTATTTGGTTACAGGTAATTTAATATTATCACAAACATTTTAATAAGTAGATATTTATAGTAAAAGATTGATCAGCCTGGAAGACAACTTAGACAGTAAAGCCCCTGCTTTTTAAGCATGAGGACCTGAGTTTGCTTCCTAGAATGCACATTTAAAAACCCAGGTATGGAAGCACACTGTTTTAATCCTGGCATTGGGCAGGCAGAGAGAGACAAATGGATTCTGCCTTCATCCCCAAACCAGCGAGAGACTGTGTCTCCAAAACAAAAAGAAAAAGAAAAGGAAAAGAAGTCAGATAATAGTCACTCGTGTCCTCTGTCATCTACAGGCACCCCTCCATACACACACATGTACCTGCACATACAAGAACATACACATACACACACACACACACACACACACACGAGCAAAACAATCACACTGCACAAGAGATGTAAAGAGCAGAGATTGCCATGTCTAGCTCCCCACTTCCACTCTATCTTTAGAGAAACCACTTTGGACCATTTCAGAATTTTCAGAGTTTCTGGTGAGTAACCATCTCCAACTGCTCCTAAAATGCTTTCTAATCTAAGTGTGGTGGTGCATGCTTGCAATCTCAGCACTTAGGAAAGGGACAGGAGGGTCAAGAGCTCAGGGCCAGTCTCAGCTTCCTAGAGGATGAAGGCCAGGCTGGCTGCTCTATATGAGATAATTTCTTGAAAAACAAACCCAGGGGCTGGAGAGATGGCTCCGTGGTTCAGAGCACTGGCTGCTCTTTCAGAGGACCTGAGTTCAATTCCCAGCACCTACATGGACCCATAATGAAATCTGGTGCCCTCTTCTGGTCTGCAGGCAAAACATTCATACATTCAAAATAAAAATGAATCTAAAAGAAGAAAAATGTAAACAAAAGTATTACTGGGAAGTCAGTGTTCCAGTGCTTTCCGGTGGGGGCAGTCCCACCAAATATAGAACAATCTAACATCACAACTGGGGTTATCTTAGTGACAGGCTTGCTTACTTCACTTTGAAATGATGTGGCAGAATTTCGTGGTGGTCTCTCTCCAGACCAAGGGGTCATCAGCCTATATGACCTTCCTTGGAGTGACACAGTCTCATCTTTCTAATGCAGTGGTTCTCAACCTGTGGGTCGAGGCCTCTTTGGGGGCTGAAGACCCTTTCACAAGGGGTTGCCTAAGACCATCCTGCATAGCAGATATTTCCATTACAATTCAACATAGTAGCAAAATTACAGATATGAAGTAGCAACAAAAATAATTTTCTGGCTGAGGGCCACCACAACATAAGGAACTGCTGAGGAGTCGCAGCATTGGGGAGGTTGATAATCTTAGAGGCTATACTTTCATACTTCCACTAGAAGAATCTGTGATCTAGGTGAACACAAGTTCCATGCCTTGCAGGATCAGTTGCAGCAGGCAGATCTAGCTTCTGCTTTCGCTAAGACCCCAGACCCACAGTGGATTCTCCTTACCATTTGGTGGTATGTTTACAAAAGACAAACTCCCCCCAGATAGGAGGCTTGGGGATCTGAATGCCTCCTGGCACATGAGGTTAGATTCCTTCATACACATTTCACTTTTGTGATTTTTAGTTTTGTCTAGGCAGCAATTTCTGTTAGAGTATTTTTTTTTAAAAAAAAGTGAAATATTTGACTATTTTAAACAAAACTAAGAACTATTATTTCCCCAAATCCATCCAAAAACCATTGATGGAACACCTACTGTGAGCTCAGAATTAAGGGAAGGAACTCCTTTTGCTCCCATTGACACAGATAATGTGGGGCCTCTGTTAACAGATCACCCTGGTTATTATGGGATGTCTGGGACGGATGCGCTGAAGCAGAGCTGGAATTTTCCATAGTGTGAAGAGGCTAGGAATGGAGAATCGGGTATAACATGACAGTAAAAGAGGTGAGGTTCCAGGCCAGAGGCAAGCCCGGGTCATCGAAGCAGCAGCTGCTCAATTCTCATTGATTTCCCACCCTAACATCATCTAACACAATTGGTGGAAAAGGGTGTGGCTGGCACTAGATTCTTAGAGAACAGCCATTGGCAACACAAGAGCTAAACACAGTTCCTCCCCAGACAAACAATATACTTGTAAATAAATGATTTAGTATATTTGTAGTTGAGAAGTCTAATAGGGAGAGAGGCAAGGCAGGGCACAGTGGTAAACAATAATCATCTGATCTACCTGGGAACCGCCCACCTGACCAGCTGCTGTGCCCCATCTTCAGGTCCAAGACACACTCAGTATTTAATGTCAGGCTCTATTCTGTTGGGAGCAAAGCCAACAACCAGCTGGCCTGAAGAAGTGGCAAGTTATGTGACGTGAAGAAGGGAAGAGCCTTACACCTGGGCTCAGAGTTTCTGTTGATGATAAATTTTTTGCTGGTAACCTGTACCTTCCTTTCCCTTGGATGGCTTTTTATTGCCACTATGGGATGCTGAACCTCTGACAAACATGGGCACTGAGTTTCCACATGTTAAGAGGATTATTTCGCTGCCTGTTCAAGAACCTGAAACAGTGTGTGTTGGTGGGAGGGGGTGGGGAAGACCAAGAAAAACTCATCAGTGGGCCACCTGCCAAAGCCCTGGCTCATGAGGAAGCCTTCAGCTGAGGATGCGTTCTCATTCCCCAGTTTGTATTTAGGCTGCCCTCTCTGTGAGTCCTTGTTAGAACTTCCTTGGGGAAGGAGTGGGAGAGGAGCAGCTTGTGAAGGGACCAGCGGGGAGAGGAATGGGAAGCAGTTGTAAATCCAAGACTCAGGTGAGGGGGGAGTACAGTTTGTTTCAAACTCTTTAAGCTACCTTGGTCCCTCAATCTCTTTGTCCTCTCTATTGCTCTCTTCACGTTAGGCCCCTTCAGAGCCACTTTAAATGTTCCATCGTTTTCCATTTTTAACTGACTGCCTTTCACATAGATTTCACCTGCAGTATCAGTGAGGCTTCCTTTTCCCCCATCTCTTTCATTTCATAATTTTGTGTACACACTGTGTAATGATTATTATAATCAAATTAACATGTCCCTCCTCTATGGGATTAGACCCCCAAAACTTGTCTACCTTATAACTAAATCCGTTGTACCCAATCTCTGGAAGACATTGTTCTACTTTCTGCTTCTGGGAGTCTACATTTTCTAGACTCCACATATTAGTGAGCTCATACAGCATTTGTGCTGTACTAACTTAATAGCACAGTGTCCTCTGGGTTCACCCATATTGCCAGAAGGGCAGGGTTGCTTTTGTTTGTAGCCAGATAGCATTCCATTAGCTATACGTGCCACAGTTTGGGAAACGCATCCATTTGCAGCTGGCATGAGCTGGTTCACGTCCGAGTTGTGCCAGTGCTGCAGAGAACAAGGGGATGTGGACATCTCTTTGAGGTGCTGTTTTCATTGCCTTTGGGGGGTAATTTCACTGAAGAATATTGTGGGATCATCTTTTTCCACCAAAGAGGCTTCTGAGGAAGAAAATAAATACTTGAAAATATCTTTAAAAAAGGCATTTTATAAAATACGGCCAATTTTGGCTCAAAGTGATTGTGTTTTAAAATTATTACTACCATTCACTTCCAGGCCCTGCTGTCCTTTCTAAACCTTGTCAACTCAAACATTTGTTCAATCTCCTGATCGCTTTAACTGCTCATAATTGGTAGGGAGGGATGATATTCGAATCAGGAGAGGTGTGTCTGGCAAAGGCATAGGAGGTGACCCCACTGAGGAGGAGGTGAACATCGGGCAAGACATGCTACAGGTTGTGCAAGGATCGTGAGGATATGTAAGCGATGCTGAATCCTGCTGCCTGCTGCCGCGCGCCGGGAGATGGGTGGGGTGTGAAAGCAGTAGAGATTGGTCCTGATGCATGGCAGGTGTGAAGAGTAGAAAATAATTTCCTTCTGATAATGGACTTGCTCCCCAATTGACTAATGGACGTTTTTCGTAAATTAAAGGATGCCAAACCATCTTATTAGTATTTCACAGCAACTGGCCACTGGGAGACTCTGTGGGATATCAGGAGAGTTCTTACAGGGATTGGATGCAGTTGATTGGGGAGTTGCTGGAGAGTTCTTTAATCAGAATGGAAATCAGCATATGCTGAGGCCTTAGGTGTGTGGTACTTAAGGGAGAACATGTGCAGTGTGTCTCTCAGCTGTTGGTGGGTAGAGGGAAGGCCAACCTAAAGCTATGTTCCCTTCCCAGAGACCTCCTTGCCTGCACTGTAAGGCTCTTCGCTGAGGTGGCTGACAGAGGGGTTGACCAGAATAAAGAACTAAACTTCTCTGTCTGTGAAGAAGATTTTGAGAGTGGAGGTCAGATGGCAGCACAAGGCACCGGAGAGGCCCACAGCCCAGCGTCTGAGAGGGATAAGGATGAGGAGATGGAGGAACCCAAGTCTCCCCCCAGAGGTGAACATTACCCTCCTCAGATCACAGACATGGAAAGACCGGGTCCCTCTATGTGGGTTCCAGCCCTTCCCAAATGTCCAGAGACGCCAAGACCACCCAAGAAGAGCAAGCCGCCAGTCGCTGACAGCTTCTCCACACCCAAAGTGAGTAAGCCGTTGGGGGGGGGGGGACCAGGTCTCTGAGATCTGTTCTGTGGATCAATGGATGGGAGAAGAGGGTTTGGTCGTTTGCATCTATGATGTATCTTCTGTTGCCTGTTTCTTAGTGGGAATGGATGCAAGTTTAAAGTTACTAGGAAACAGAATGAAATGTCTAGCTGCTTGTTTCCCTCAACTACTATTTGGTATTAGCTACGCAAACATCTTAGCTGAAAAGATCTTAGTTAACGAACAGTGGAACTGGAAGAGCTGTGGAGGTCCGCAGCCATCCTGTGTACTTTGCACACACGAAACCCAGTTTCTAAGAGTCTTACCTCAGCTGCTGTCAGAAGTAAGGCTGGATCCTTCATTTTTCGGTTTGGTCTGTTTTCCTTCTCGTTATGCCAGCTGGCTGTATTTCTGGGTAATTGCTTACCAATATTTTCTGGTACAGGGATGGTCACGTTAACCATCAGCACATGCTCATGTCTGCTGCTGTTGCTCTTCCCAGCACAGAGTCCCCTCTGGTTTGGGCCTGGTGCAGTGCTGGCACCTCTATTATACTTGGGGAAAGCAGAACTTGTTTGAGAATTGAAAGTGGCAGCAAGTAAGCAATGGTTGCTTGTAGATCACATATTTTTTGATTTACACTACATTACATTGCTCATTTATTGAAGCCAGGGGCTTGGGGATGGTTACATCTAGGAGATTCTGATGACATGGTGTGATTTCCAAGGTTGAATATTAGCTTGGCTCCCTGCCAGCTCAGCTGGAGCTACTTAAGATCATTATAACCTGTGTGATCCTGTGCACGGCACAGTCACTGCCAGCGGGCCTCTGTGGTGCCTGCTGAGGGCCAGAGTGTGTCTACCAGGAAATACTAGGCTTCCCGTTGAACTATAGACAATCAAATCTGTTCTGCTATCCATCAGAAGGTGTTTCAGTGTTCCAGTCCTGACCAGCTGATTATCTGTATTCTTCTTCTTGAGAACACACTGCAGGTAATAAACACAGGACACAATCTCTCTTTTCAACCAGCTTACAGTTCATCAGGAGATGAGCAGAGTGGTATTTTGAGAGTTCTCTGTGAATAATGACTCTCAGTACGATGATTAGGAAAGAAAAAAGTGATGGGAGCAAGGGAACAGCACTGACAGTTCGTGATGTTTCAACGGGTGATAGGGAATGGGCTTTGGGAATGTGCAGGCAGGACAGTGGGATGAGCATATATATTTCGTTCATTACACCACCCACAATGTGCTCTGTATTAGCAGACCCTCTGCTGGAAGACACCATTTACTTTCTTTAACGAGTACCCCTCCCCCAGTTAATAAGCAACTAAAGAAGTAATAAACACCCAGAAAATGTGATGTAGAAGGATGGCAGAGTTTGAGGAACAGAAATTTGGAATTAAGGTTCAAAACAGTGAGGGCAGTTTTCTAAAGGAAGAACTGTCTGAGAACAGACTTGGATAATGAACCTGAGTTTGCTAAGTAAAGATGGGAAAGGAGACCCTCAAGCATCCACTGAGTATCTGAGGGGAAGGAAAATCATTTGCTATTCAGTGGAACAGTAGTCTTTGTGTAGGAGAGATGAACAGTCTATCCTAAAAGTGTTGAATTAACCATGCAATGGTTTTGAGTATGGGTATTCTAGTCCAGAAAGTAGACTAGATCAGAGAAAGTCTTGACACAGGGAACAATTCACAATGGATTCCGTTGAGAGCAGAAAAGGGCCAGAATTAGGACAGGCGTGTGCAGGGCTTAAATTGAGAGAAGTTCAGGAACTAGTGGTAAATTGATGGGGTGTTGCATGGAAAAGAGGAATGGAAGATAATGGCGAGGCCTCTTGCTTGATTAAATAGGTAGAGCCTGGGGTCAAGACAGGAGACACTGAGGATATACACGTTTGGGGGAGGAATAAAACAGATATGTGGAATAAATAATTGGCTATGTGGGACATGGAAAACAACTGAAGCCATGTGGCATTTAGGAGACCAGTGAAGCCATGGCTGGGAATCAGGTCACATGTCTGCTATGAGAAGACAGGTGCTACTGATCTTGGCCCATGGCAAGATGAAGAACAGGTATAGAATAGAGCCTGGGAAAATAGGTGGAAATACAATAGGGAAAATACCCACTTCCCTACAGTACATTTAAATCAGGATGAGAACAGAGCAGGGTATCAACTCGTGCTGCTTTCTGGAGACACTGCTGCTGAAGCACAGGAAAGCAGGGTAGGCATATTTCTGCTTTTTCTATGAGGTGCGGGCAGAAATGGTGTCATTTCCTTCTCCATAAGGGATTCTTAGCAGAACCACTGAAGAACACTGAAGAAAGCGTATTAGTAAGGTTGGCGCAGCTGATCACGTTAAACATTAGCTGATGGTGATTACATCGCAACGTCGTAGATTCAAGACTCAGAGGCTTGGTCGGCCTCTGAGTTAGCAGCTTGCAAACACTCCAACGCTGTCTTGACAAGAGGCTGCCTTCTCACCATGATCTTCAGAAGTCAAGTAGCTGTCCCTCACATCTCCCTTAATCGGCCAGCATTGTCATTAGACATCTATCCACAATCTCTGGAGTGCACACACCCTCTCTATCTGCTTTGCAAACTGCTCTACTTTCAGGCAAAGCTTTATTTAAGAATGAATATTAATATCTTTCCTTTTATTGGTGACCACAAATTCTATTGGCCTTCATATTTCCAAGCTAGAAATCCTAGTGTCATCTGCCATGGTATGATTTTTTTCCTTGTTTTTATCTGAAAATTTCATAGACTCTTTTTATTTTCCTTAAAATATGGCAGAAGAATTATGGGAAGCACTGCAGATTTGGACACGCTGCATTAAATATGTGAAAGATGCATTGTACTTAGCATTATAAAACTAATGTTCATTGGGGGAATGGTCTAGTACAATTCTGAGTTATTTCCAAGATTACACTGGTAATGGGGACATAGCATTATGTACTATAGTTTTGCTTATTTTGAAACTATAGCCCTTTTTATGATAAATTCACTAGAAAACAATGACATTTTCAGTGTGGGTTTTGAACACAGTCATAAGATTATTCACTCTGTGAACTCTAAGATACATTAAGACACTTATAAAAAAATCCTTGACTATGCCACTGGTCTATTTTCACCTACAAAATTATGCTAAGTTGTATGTTCCATAACATCTTTCATTTCTGCTTATGTCAATTTTTTATTGAGTATCTATTAAGTCTAACCATCTTTGAAAGCTCGTATTTAACAAATCAGAGGTAGTTTGGCTTCTGATGTTACACTAAAAAGTCAAAGAATCAAAATAGTAGGATCCCAAGTGCAACAAGCATGCTGTAGAGTTCTATCTTGACCACGTGTATACTATTGTGTGCTTGCAGAAATACAGCATGGGTAGTTCTCTAGATCCTGACACGTAGATCTAATAACATCCTGTTCTTTCAGGATCCTTTGTCTTTGAACTTGGCAAATTGGTCAAATTCAGGATAAACCTAGGTTCAGCTGTATTGGCAAGTCTTCATTCTTCTATTTATTGATAGCTGTTTATAGCCATATCAAAGCCCTGAAATCTTTTTAGTGATTTTTGTTGTTATTATTACTTTTACATCCCAATGTTTTCCTCCCTCCTCTTCCCTTCCTCCGATTCTGACCCCCCCACTCCTCTCCTCCTCCATTTCTATTCAGGAAAGAGCAGGCACCTCATGAATATCAACCATACATAGCTTATCAAGTTGCAATAACCCTAGTCATTTCCCCTCATGTTAAGGCTGGACAAGGCAACCCAGTATGAGGAATAGGGTCCCAAAAGATGGTAAAAGAGTTAAAGACAGCTCCTGTTCCCACTGTTAGGAATCCCACAAGAACACCATGCTATACACTGTAACATATGTAGAGGGTCTAGGTCAGTCCCATGCAGGCTCCTTGGTTGTCATTTCAGTCTCTCTGAGCCCCTATGAGCCCAGGTAGTCGATTCTATGGGTTTTGACCCCTCTGGCTCCTAAAATCGTTCCTCCCACTCTGCCGCAGGATTCCCTGAGCTCCACTGAATGTTTGACTGTGGGTCTCTGAATCTGTTTTTATCAGCTGCTGGATGAAGCCTCTGATAAAAACTGGGCTAGACACCAATCTATGAGTATAGCAGAATCTCTCTCTCTCTCTCTCTCTCTCTCTCTGTAGTCATGTTTGGTTGAATCCTAGGTCTCTGGTCTATCCTGGGTCTTGTGGCTCCAACAGTGTCAGGGTGAAAGCCCTAAAATCTTAAGAGATTATTTTAGATTATATATATAACTTTTAGAGCTGCTATTGTTTAATAACAATCCACTCAGCATAAGTGTAAAACATTGTCTGGAGGGCTTTATCATCTGCTTGAATAATTGTAGTGGTTATTTTCTATTTCCTGGTATATTTACCCATTCTTAGAACTAATACCTTGAACTATCACCACTAAACTTCTCTAGAATATATACTCTAAGGGAAGAGAGACCTCCTTATTTTTAAACATCTACAACAGTGCCGGTCACTCATGAGTGCACACACACATATGGTCGTTTATATTAAATTATACCTCTGTAAAATGCTCCTGGTTAGGGTGTGTTTAGTTTAAAAATCTTTATAACTCTTCTGTTCTTTCATTTCTCCTTCTAAGCTTGGGCAATGCACAGTGTTAATGTTGCCGTTCTTCCTGATAAACTCTTTTAATAGATAAAGACCCTTTTCTTCCTTTGTTTATTTTTATAGTCATTTTTCTTTCATTTAAAAATTATTATAGTTGCATTATTTCCCCCTTTCCCTTTCCTCCCCATATCCCCATACCACTCTCCCCTTGCATGCTCTGTCTTTCTCAAATTCATGGCCTCTGGCTTCTTTTTCCTTACCCTAGACAAAGACCTACAGGCAATTAAAAGATTTTGAGAGTAGAAAAAGTGGTGTTCTCTAGGGAATACCAAGTGAGCAACCCTGAAATCATATACATACTAGTAACATTATAGGACTGAGCAGATTGTATTTATATATTTAGGAATGTATACATGTAGATTATTTTTAATCTCTTTATTTCATTTCATGGGGTTCTTATAATTTTTTTTTCTGTTTTCTTTTTTTTTATTGAGAAAAAAAATTTCCGCCTCCTCCCAGCCTCCCACTCCTCCCCCCTCTCCCCACTCCTCTCCCCCTCCCCCCACTCCTCTCCCCCTCCCTCTCCAGTCTGAAGAGCAGTCAGGGTTCCCTGCCCTGTGGAAAGTCCAAAGTCCTCCCCGCTCCATCCTGGTCTAGGAAGGTGAGCATCCAAACAGGCTAGGCTCCCACAAAGCCAGAACATGAAGTAGGATCAAAACCCAGTGCCATTGTCCTTGGCTTCTCAGCAACCCTCATTGTCCGCCATATTCAGAGAGTCCGGTTTTATCCCATGCTTTTTCAATCACAGTCCAGCTAGCCTTGGTGAGCTCCAATAGATCAACCCCACCGTCTCCGTGGGTGGGTGTGCCCCTTGTGGTCCTGACTTCTTTGCTCATGTTCTCCCTCCTTCTGTTCCTCATTGGGACTTTGGGAGCTCAGTCCATTGCTCCAGTGTGGGTCTCTGTCTCTATCTCCATCCATTGCCAGATGAAGGTTCTATGATGATATGCAAAATATTCATCAGTATGGCTATAGGTTCCCTATAGGTTCATTTCAGGTTCCCTATCCTCAGCTGCCCCAGGAACTAACTGGGGACCTCGCCTTGGGCACCTGGAAGCCCCTCTAGGTCCAAGTCTCTTGCCAACTCTAAGATGGCTCCCTTAATTAAGATATGTGCTTCCCTGCTCCCCTATCCAACCTTCCTTTATCCCAATCATCCCGTTGCCCCAAGTTCTCCCCATCCTACCCTTCTCACTTTTCTCTCCCCATTTCCCCTACCCCCCTCCCACCCCACCCTTAAGATCCTGATTTTTGCCTGGCAATCTTGTCTACTTCCCATACCCAGGAGGATAGCTATATGTTTTTCTTTGGGTTCACCTTATCTAGCTTCTTTAGGATAACAAATTATAGACTCACTGACCTTTATTTATGGCCAGAACCCAATTATGAGTGAGTATATCCCTTGTTCATCTTTTTGGGTCTGGGTTACCTCACTCAGGATACTATTTTCTATTTCCATCCATTTGCATGCAAAATTTGAGAAGTCATTGTTTTTTACCGCTGAGTAGTACTCTAATGTGTATATATTCCACACTTTCTTCATCCATTCTTCCATTGAAGGACATCTAGGTTGTTTCCAGGTTCTGACTATTACAAACGATGCTGCTATGAATATAGTTGAACAAATGCCCTTGTCATATGATCAGGCATCTCTTGGGTATATTCCCAAGAGTGGTATTGCTGGGTCCAGGGGTAGGTTGATCCCGAATTTCCTGAGAAACCGAAACACTGAAGTCGACCAATGGAATCGTATAGAAGACCCAGACTTTAACCCACAAACCTATGAACACCCCATTTTTGATAAAGGAGCTAAAAGTATACAATGGAAGAAAGAAAGCATCTTCAACAAATGGTGCTGGCACAACTGGATGTCAACCTGTAGAAGAATGAAAATTGACCCATATCTATCACCATGCACAAAACTCAAGTCCAAATGGATCAAAGACCTCAATATCAGTCCGAACACACTGAACCTGATAGAAGAGAAATTGGGAGGTACCCTACAACAGATGGGCACAGGCGATCGCTTCTTAGGTATAACCCCAGCAGCACAGACATTAAGGGCAACATTGAATAAATGGGACCTACTGAAACTGAGAAGCTTCTGTAAAGCAAAGGACACTGTCACTAAGACAAACAGGCAGCCCACTGACTGGGAGAAGATCTTCACCAACCCCGCAACTGACAAAGGTCTGATCTCCAAAATATATAAAGAACTCAAGAAACTAGACTTTAAAATGCTAATTAACCCAATTAAAAAATGGGCACTGAGCTGAACAGAGAATTCTCAACAGAAGAAGTTCAAATGGCCAAAAGACACTTAAGGTCATGCTCAACCTCCTTAGCGATCAGGGAAATGCAAATCAAAACAACTTTGAAATATCATCTTACACCTGTCAGAATGGCTAAAATCAAAAACACCAATGATAGCCTCTGCTGGAGAGATTGTGGAGGAAGGGGTACCCTCATCCATTGCTGGTGAGAATGCAAACTTGGGTTCTTATTATTTTATGTGGTGTTTTTAAGTGAATTTAAGAACTCTCCTTTTTACTTAGGAAGTCTATGAAATATGTCTCTTAAAAAGACACGGATGAACTGATTAACAAACCAGATTCATCAGGAGCTTCAATTTATCTCTGTCTCCATCAATATCTAATCCAGCATCTACCACTAATTTTCTTTTACTTTTTAAATTCCGATCCTGATTTGCCTTTTGTCATCCTCAGAATCCACGTGAGATGACTTTGAAAGGAAACCTCTCTGCCCAAAGCGCTAAGCGTCCGAGACTCTCACTTTCTCCCTTCATGGATGAGAAGACCTCTTTGTCTCTGGTTAATATCAACCCATTCACTCCAGAGTCCTATAGAAAATCAGTCCTTCGATCAAATGAGAAAAGGAAAACCAGAGGCTACCAGTAAGTATACAGTTCTCTTAATTTCTGTGAACTCCTTTGGGACAGTGCTAGAATAAGGTTAGGAACAAGAGCTCTCTATTTGAATGAAACCAAAGTATTGTGTATGTGTCCCTCATCCCTGCAGGTCAGTGTTGGTCACAGAGACCTGGGCATCTTTCCATTCTGACGTGTACTGAAAGGAGCTTTTTGACAGGAATCTGGCAGAGCAAGCAATAGATCTGACTTACAGTAGACAGCTGAGTTGGTAGGGACCGAATTTGATGGACTTCCTTTGGTTAATATGAGGCTAATGACTGGGAGAGCATTCATATTTCAAACTGTATATATTGCAGCATTGAATTTGGCTTGTGATACCTGGTGATATTGGTGACGAGAGCTACGGGGCAATTGTTTGAACTTCTCTGTAGGTGATGGAAAACTGAAGAGGGTAAAAGATAGTGCTGCTTTCAGAGATGCTAATGAGTGACAGCCCAAGTACCCTATTCCCCCCAATGCCTCAGAATAGTAGAAGTCACCTAAATAAGGATTATGTGTGCTACTTGGGGGGTATAATTATTTTGGTTAAACTATCTCTCTCTCCTTCCCTATCCTTCTTCATTGTGTTCGTGTGTGTGTGTGTGTGTGTGTGTGTGCGTGTGCGTGTGTGTGTGCGTGTGCGTGTGTGTTGGAGAAAATGCACATGCCCCAGCACATGACTGGAGGTCAGAGGACAACTTAGGGAATCAGTCCTATCCATATACTATGTGGATCCTGGGGCTTGAACTCAGGTCATCAGGCTTGCTGGCAAGTGCCTTAACCTGCTAAGCCATCTCATTGCCCTTTTGGGTTTGCTAACTTGGGGATACTGCTTTACCAGTTTTCTTTGATACTTCATTTTATGTAATAGAAACATACATACTCAGCAACATAAATGAAGAGCTACCTGTCAGAGCTCTGTAGAACACCTAATGCTCCCTTCCCCACTTGGTGAAGTCTGCAGGAAGAGAGATAATTTGGATGAAAGTGGTGGCGATACTGTGTAGTGAGTGATCTCTCTCTCTCTCTCTCTCTCTCTCTCTCTCTCCCTCCCTCCCTCTCCCTCCCTCTCTCTCTCTCTCTCTCCCTTTCTCTCTCCCTCTCTCTCTCCCTCTCTCTCTCTCTCCCTCCCTCCCTCCCTCCCTCCCTCCCTCCCTCTCTCTCTCCCTCCCTCCCTCCCTCCCTCTCTCTCTCTCCCTCTCTCTCTCTCTCTCTCTTGATTTTCAAAACAGGGTTTCTTTGTAGTTTTTGGTGCCTGTCCTGGAACTAGCTCTTGTAGACCAGGCTAGCCTCGAACTCCCAGAGATCTGCCTGCTTCTGTTTCCCGAGTGCTGGGATTAAAGGCGTGCGCCACTACCGCCCGACATCTCTTTACTTGTTTGTTTGTTTGTTTGATTTCTTTTGTGACATCTCTTAATGCTCATGAGAGAATATCTTTCTCCCGTATCCACTGTGTTGCCAGGGTGTAGTATTAAGTTTAAATCACACGTGTTCATCAGCTGATTTCACGAACATGGTGCCATTTGTTTGCAATCTCTCCCCTGTATTTCTCTAAAAGAAGCTGTCTGGAGTGTCCACTGACGTCTTGCTATAGACCCAGAAAATGGCTCACACAAAGAAGCATGTTCACAAATGATTTGTTGCAAATTGAAGATCTCTTAGGCAAAACCGTATTTATGCTGTACGCGATATGTATCTGTGTACTGAATTAGAAAGCTGGGTCAGGGGGCAGTGTTGGAAGGAGAGCATAGCGTGATTGTGAAGAAAAAACGCCTTGGGATTAGACTCGGTTTAAAATCCAAGCTCTTCCACTCGCTAGTTGTGGAACACAGAGTGATTTAATGTCTCAGGTTTGTCTGGCTCCTTTGGGGAAACAGTACCTACCCTTTGTATGGTGTTCTCCCTTGCTTGTAGGTCTTAGCACTGGGATTCTCAACCCCTGGGTCTCAACTCTTTGGTTGAATGACTCTCAGGGGTCACATATCAGATATCCTGCATATTAGATATTTCCATTATGTTTCACATCAGTAGAGAGGTACAATTATAAAGTAGCAATGAAAATAATTCTCTGGTTGGGGTCACCACGGCATGAGGAACTGCACTAAAGTGTCGTAGCTTAGGAAGGTGGAAAGGCACTGTCTTAGCATGTGGTAGTCCTGAAACACCCACTCCCTGCCTCAGTCAGTTCCCATTCCTTCTTGGAATCTTAGCTTAGCTTACATATTATCTTCTGGGAAAGCCCTTTTCCCTCTTGAGATCCTCACATAACTGGTGCCGTTCATGGTCTCTCCCAGTGCTGTCATTATCCTGTCCTAGGCTCCAGTATTAAATGTCTGGGTCATCTCTACTCCCAAACACGAAGTGAAGAGGAAAGGAATTTATTAACTTGCAGCCACAGAACTTGTCCCAACACCGGCCTCAGTGAGTAATCACTCTTGCTCTAACCTTTTCCTTTCAGTGAGGAAATGGAAGAAGGGGAAAGCAAATCAGAACAGGTGCTGCCTACTAAGGTGAGTGTGGTCTTTGGGTCCAGCAGTCACAACGTCCTATTTAGTATGTCTCTACCCCTCACTCCGCTGCCTGTCCTTCTTGATTTCTCTTTTTCTTCCATCCTCTCCTTCCCCTTTCCTCCCCTCATTCTTCTCCTTTCTCCCTCCTCATCAGTTTCCCTCCTTCTTCCTTCTCAAGCTTTTCCTTACCCCTCCCTCTTTCCTCCACCCCTTTAATCCCAGTCTGCTCTACCCTGTCCTTTCTCTCCTGATACCTTCTTTCTCTCCCTTTCTCCTATTCTTCCTTTCATCTTCCGTCATCCTTTCCACCCTTCCCTGTTTTTTCCCCTTCCTCTCTCTGCCACACATACAGATTTTACGGCTTTAGTAGTGTATGCTGCAGGATAATTTACCTCTGGATAATCAGCTGTTATGTTTGCAAGCAGTAGCTAAGTTTTTGGATAATTCTTTAAAAAGTTTCTATTTCTGTTTTTAATCTGGGGGAAGCTTTCATACTGGGGTAGAGAAGGAATGAGAAATTAAGCTACTCTTATTTGTCAAACTAAAAAATTGAAATGGAGAAAGTGACGTTGGTTCCGAAATTTATATGTAAAATTTCAGCTGTTGAATGTATCCTTATTTGTTCATTTTTGTGATCATACATATATGGTAATCTAGCCTATCATATTAATATTATAACCATTTGACTCTAAAATGTTTCTCGCATCTGAATTGTAGTTGCTGAAAACTGGGGAAGGCGCTGGAAAGCCCAGTAATAGGAGAGTGGCGAGGTTAAATATAAAGTCAGTAGGATATGAAATTGCTCTTAAGGTGTTTGCAGCACATGGAAACATACTTCTTAGCATGTATTCAGTGTACAAAACTCAAAAATGTATATGACGGCAAAGCACATCCGTGTCAATCACATCGGGTATGGCAGTGGCAGCTGTTATTTCGGTGCCGCCGAATGGCAGAGACCACACAGCTGTTCTCACTGATAGTTACTAAACTTTCCTTGAGCAAATCTTACTCATATAAGTAAGTCAATATTCTCTCCATTCTTTCCCTTTCTCTCTTTCCATGACTACCTCTCTTCCTTGGCATGGGGTTTCTCATAGCTCAAGCTGGCCTAGAATTTATGATCCTCCTGCCTCCCGAGTGCTAGGATGGCAAGTTTGGGACATCACACTCTGACATATGTAGTATTTTATTTTTAAGATTTATTTATTTATTATGTATACAGTGTCCTGGTGCCTGCAGGCCAGAAGAAGGCACCAGATCCAGATCTCACTACAGATGGTTGGGAGTCACTATGTGGTTGCTGGGAACTGAACTCAAGACCTTTGGAAGAGCAGGCAGCGCTCTTAACCTCTGAGCCATCTCTCCAGCCCCAGATGTAGTATTTTTAAATGTCAGCACTTGGCTACTGTAACTGCCACAGAGACAGCTCTGGGTTTAGGCTTTCAGTTTTTCCCACCCATGCCTTCACTGCTTTTTCCTTTGAATTTTATTCCTCATTTGTTTTATAAGTCTTTAAGTAGCTTCTGATAGAATGCCAAATAATTCAATAAATGGAGAAAATATATCTATACAAAAGTCCCTGGCCAGGAGAAGCTAACATGTTTGAAATATCAAAATGATGTACACATAAATATAAAGCAAAAAGATACCTGGATCTGCATGAGCCTATATATGAACCTATGTGTGCTGTGTGAATGTATGCATATATTTGAAGTCTGCAAGGGCAGTAAAAATAATCCCCGTGGAAAGCAAAGTGGTAGAACACATATGTATAAAGATAATTCTAGGAAAAGAAAAGAAGTAACATATTTCTCTGAAAGCAGGGGAATGGGTCCTGTGTAAGAGGGTGACTTGGGCGGTTGAGTGGCTGGCAGTGGTGTGGACATCAAGCTGACCTGTTTGGTAGCTATGGAGTAGCCAAAGTACTCAGTGTCAGTTGGAAGTAAAGCTTTGGGTCTATTATCAGAGTTCAACTTTCTCTTGGGAAACAACTAGGCTTTTAATTCTGCAGAATCCTTTTGCAAAATTATTACTAGAGGATTTGGAAAGAGCTGATGATGGAGGCAAATCCAGACATGGAGGAACCAGAGTTTAGGGTTCCCTATGGGCAAAGGAAATTACAGGTCTTGCTGATAAGAACCGATGGGAATTGGATGCAAAAATGATTGTGTAAAGTCGAGATTTTTCTTTTTAATTTGCTAAAGTTAGATGCTAATTGGGACATTAAGAAAAAGATGATGTTGAAGAGAGAAATTATCTTAAATTAGATTCACATGTAGTTGTAGAGGTTTTGATCATAATACTAGACTTCACAGTCCAGACAGAAAACTGATTTCCCTGGTTGATTTACTAGCTGGAAAATGAGTGATATTACCAGCTGGCCACTAGGGGGAGGTAATGCTGAGCACATGTGACGGATTAATACATTTGATAATTTTGTTTCCCAGATTAAGACTTCTGTGAAAATAAATTGAAACAAGAAGATTTATTCAACTTAAGGTGGAAATTTAGTACCCAGGCCTTGAGAAAGGTAGAGAATCAAGAGGAGTTTTTGGTATTGATTGTGCTAGGCTTCAGAAACTGTGGGTCTCTGAACAGAATGGTCTGATCAGATAAAGGAAAGGACATTTAAAACTGACTAGGTTCAGGACTGACTTGTATGTAAGGTTACAAAGGACACCGGTGTGGCCAGCCATTGGCAAAACTCTTTGCTACCATGATTACCAGCGACCAGCGCAAAGAGAACGCATTGCATTTGCCTCACGTTTTAAAAAGCAGTTTTGGAAATGAAACACAGCTCTGTCTTATTGCTCATGGTATATAGGAAGACTTATCCCCTCTCTCTTTTTAAATATTGTAGAGTATTCTACAAGAAACTGATATGGCTTCCCGCTATGAAAAGGAATTTTTGGAGCTAGAAAAAATTGGGGTTGGGGAATTTGGTACAGTCTACAAGTGCATTAAGAGGCTAGATGGATACCTTTATGCAATAAAGCGTTCTTCAAAACCATTCTCGGGATCATCAAATGAGTGAGTACCTTTGAAAAGTACTAGATGAACAAACTTGGATGTCGTACTATATTGATTCTCTATAGTTTCAAAAATAGCACCAATATCAATGAAAATACCCATTTGCTTGATTTTAAATTTGTCCCTACCATTTTGGATGTCATTTTATGTTCATCGCTTTACTGAATCAACCAGAACACCAGTGGCATTTCCTAAAACAGAACTTGATAGCTTCAGATCATATTATTGTTTGTAATTATAGGATCTCACCATATAACTCTGGCTAGCCTAGAACCCTAGGTAGAGCGGGCTGACCTTGAACTTAGAGATCTGCCTGCCTCTACTGGGATGAAAAGCATGCACTAGCCCATGCATGCCATTGTTTTTCAATTTGTTGGATTTTCTGTCTATTGGTATTGGTCTTACTGTCATTCTAATGAATTGAGTTTTGGAACGGTTTCCTGGTACCTACTTATGTTCCTCTGAAATACTGTCAGATAGGAAATGTTATCAGTGATTTATCTCTACTTTGTACTCTTCTAGTTTAACTTTTGCAGCTGTGATAAACACTGTGACTAAAAGCAAGTTGTGGAGGAGGAAAAGGTTTATTTCAGTTTATGCTTCTGGGTCACAATCCACCATGGAAGGTAGTCAGGACAAAAACTGTCTGAACAGGAGTAGAGATGAAAACTACGGAGGCACACTGCTTCCTGGTAGGCTGGCCTTGAACTCATAGAGATCCACCTTCCTCTGCCTCCCAAGTGCTAGGATTAAAGGCATGTGCCACTACTGCCTAACTCAGCCTGCTTTTTTCATACTTGCCTAAAATTGGTACCTCCTACAGTGGGCTGGGCCCTTACACCAAATATCAAGCAAAAACAATCTTTCATAGACATGGCTATAGGCTCATATGATTTATATAATTCCTCAACTGACATTCCCTTTTCCTAGGTGGCTCCAATTTGTACCAAGTTGACAATAAACTAACCAGTACACATACTAACAATAAATTCAGTAGTGAAGTTTGATACTGTATGCAAAGGAAAACTATTAGCAATGCTTATATTTAACTCCCAGAATTAACTTTTCATTTTTCCTATGATACATAAGGAAAAAACTACTTTTAGATTGAGTTGATGCTTTTGTGAGCTTCTTTCATCCATACCGACCATGTGGAGCCAGATATTACAGGCTTTTGTTTTAATATTGATGTCGATCAAGGACAGAATTTGCTTTTCTTTTTTGTAGACTGCATATTTCTCCCAAAGCTTTCCCCTGTAGCTCATCAGATTGGCTGGGTTTGATCATGACTCTAATGACTACCTAGCCTTCATGAAGAAGACAGACCCATCAGAACGTCCACAATAAGTGTGTGATGGCCTGCTTGTAGTGCCTATTAACAGGCATAACAAGCTACAATGTGCACTCTGATGCAGTGAAATTAAGACCCAAAGCACACCTGTTCTTGGGAAAGCAAGCACAGACGGCACCTCTCTATGTGCCACGCTCAATGAATAAAGCATGGACTCCGGCACTGGTTGACAAGGTTCTGCCCTGAGGTCTACTATTACCAGTTTCACCATGGACAGTCACTTCCTCTCATCATGGTTTCCAGTGTATCTTACCAAGAATCTAGAAAGACTGAATAGATAAAATACTAAGCATGCAGCAGGCCGGCAAAAAAATATTTTATTTTTAATGTCTTTTATGTTTCCCTTAAAAATCTTTTAATCTGGGCTGGAGAGTTGGCTCAGTGGTTAAGTGAACTGGCTGCTCTTCCGGAGGACCTGGGTTCAATTTCCATCACCCACATAGCAGCTTACAACTGTCTGTAGCTTCAGTTCTAGGGGACCCAGCCCCCTCACACAGACATACATGTAGGCAAAATGTCAATGCATATAAAATAAAAATATTGTCAAAATCTTTGAATCTATATTATCTCAATTAACTTTTCTAAATGCTTCTCTTTCCCTTGGGAGTATGGATTTGCATGAAGTCTATGCTCATGCAGTGCTTGGCCATCACCCCCATGTGGTACGCTACTATTCTTCATGGACAGAAAACGATCACATGATCATTCAGAATGAATACTGTAACGGTAAGACTGTGGACTAATACACAGAAAGGGATATACTTTTTAAAATTCTGGAAATAAATTTGCCTCCTCACAGTTTAAGCTTTTACATATTGGAGTCACACCAAAGATGCTTGTGCTTGAAAGCAGAATAAGAATGGAGTTGGAGTGTGTGTGTGTGCCTTGTGTCATGCAAAGCCAGTATAGCTGATATAAAAATGCTATTAATCCCTTCATAGTTTATCTTATACTGGAAAAAATGTTACCATACTAGCTTAAACAATTCTGTTACCATCTGTCAGGTACTGGAAAGGTATAAACCATACCATTTGGGGGAAGGTTAGAATAAAGGTCCTAGTTATAATTGGTTTGGTAAGGCTTTCAGTGTCTCACTTAGTTTTCTAGGGATTTCCGAGTCTAGGGGTCTTTCATGTTGTTGCTGGTCCAAACCTTTGAGCTTACTTGTTCTCACCACAGTACAGGCAATGGGATGCTGCTGTGACCCAATTTGGTGCTTTCAGGTGTATTTTTCACAAGCTGAGTAAAATCCATTCTAATTTTAGGGGTAACAGTACATACTCTGACCACAGAATATTTGAAAATCCTCCTTCCCACAGCCACCCTGAGTGTTTCTATGTCTGTCTTCCGGTACTTTCATTGCACCCTGAAGGCCCCAGGTATAGTCATCCAGCCTGGCCTTGAGTATAATGACGGGTAACAAAGCTTCTCTATCAGAAAACTAAGTGAGTGAGCAAATCCTGTTGTGAAAGACCAAGGGATGGCACACACATATTGCAAAACAACAACCTGGCATTTCTTTAATCATTTCCTTTATAGAAAAGATGCTCCAGCCTTAAGCTGTGGTCTTTGCATGTCTTCCCCTCCCCACACTTCTAAATTCACCACACCCCTTCCTTTTGCTCTAATAGTTCTTAGGGAGGTGCAACATTTCTTTATGCTTATGATTAAGACTTTTCTTAATCACCTTTTCTTCCCAGCTCCCTCATATTAAAACCTGAAGCTCCCTGCTTTTTTCTCCTCCCCTTTTTCTAGAAGGAAAACCGGTTTGCTTTCCATGATTTTTTTCTATTAGCACAGAGTATGAAATAAGGAAGATTAACTAGCAGAGTAAAATGTTAATATGCTGTAGAGTCAATGAAAAAGTTCCAGAAATATTGAGATGGGGAGGTTGCTTCTACTCCAATCATCTTTTACTTTATTTTGGCATTTGGATGCCTTCCCTAAGTCTGACCCTCTACTAAGCTCTAGATAGAGAAATACTCAAGATTGTGAAGGATTGATAAATCCTTCCAGGTGCTGTACCAGACAATCTGGAACAAAGCCGTCTGGTACAGTCATGGGTAAAGAAGCAGTCAGAGAATTACGACAGGGTACTGGAAGGGGCCTATGTTTACAGCCCAATTCTGATGCTCACTGCCTGTATAATTAATTACTGGGATGCCATTCAAAATGGCATAAATGGATGGTAATATTTATTACAGAAGTCATTTGAGAATTGACATTAGCACAGGTGAAATATTAGCAGAGTCAATACCTGATGCATGATAAAAATAGAACAGCGTCTGATTTCCTAAAGGAGGCAAGGCTTGAGTTAGACCTTTCAGCAGGTTAGTTTAGGAAATCAGAGGGAAGGTTTCCAGTTGTTGGAACATCAGGCGGGCTAAAGGCAAAGAACTGAGAGTGGGTCTGACCTAACAGACAGAAGGAATCCCAATATGGGTGATCCTGTGGTAGGAAATAGTATCAGCAAGACAAAAGGTAGCAGTACTATCCAGGACTTTAAAAACCTGTCGGTGGCTTTCAGATTAGAAGTGGTAGGTGAGAGGTTGCAGGGAATAGGTTCACTACATTGACCCCACTACCTTCACAGAGTGCTCATTCAGTGATGTTTAACTGATTTTGCAATTTGTAATTCTATAGGTGGAACTTTTCCAAGACCTCATTCCTCCTCCTTCAAGGCTCCACCCCCTACTTTTCCTTCCTTCTTTTCATCCCATGTCTTCCCATTTCATTGCTCATCTCCTAGCATCGGACTAGTAGTCTGACTTGGGCACATACAGTCATGATTTTTTTTTTGAGACAGGGTTTCTCTGTGTAGCTTTGGAGCCTGTCCTGGAACTCACTCTGTAGACTAGGCTAGCCTCGAATTTACAGAGATCCGCCTGCCTCTGCCTCCCGAGTGCTGGGATTAAAGGCCTGTGCCACCACTGCCCGACTGTACGGCTGTGATTTTAATTTAGATGATACTGTAAGTGATTTAGAGTCTTACAAATACATATTAGATGACTATTAGTAGAGACCCATGTCACACAGTTTTCCCTCTTAAGCCTGAATCAATCAGATGGCCTCTCCTCCTTGACTCTTGTCAAGATACCTTGAAAGTCACCCCTGGAAGAGCCTAGACAACTAAAAGTTCTCCAATAGATTCAACAGCTCCCAGAATTTCAACTAATTTTGGGTTAGACTATTTATCTCTCTGTAATGACAATATTTGTGTATGTGAATCTTCTGCCATTGAAATTCCATAAAGCCAACTCTTGGTCCTATTTGTTAGAATAAGAGGACACACCAGGGTCAGCATCCACCTTAGAATGTCATAAATGGTTGTATTTTCCCACTGAACAAACAAGGAACAACCCTGTCAGCAGAACATTATCAGTAATATCAACAACACCATGAAAGGATACTGTGAGGATATGTAGGTCTGAATGAAATATTCCATTGCATTGTTAACCGGCTTTTTACATTTATTGTTAGAAGTTATATGCTCTTTATTTGTTGTGATATGTTTAGGCCCTGCTAGCACAGAGGAAAACATGTACGTTTTAAAGATGTTCTTTCTGCCAAGGGGTAAAATGCTTTTGATTTGCAATCACAAAGACAAGCTGCACATGGCAGAAACATGTTTTTCCACAATGCACATGTGTAACAGCAGCCGAAATGAACTCACTCCTATCTGCTACACCTGGGAGGAGCACGGAAACACATTCCAAGAACAGTTCTGTGTTTTGAAGAAACTTAGGTCCCAAGAAAGACTCTTGTTTTCTTGGAGTTTTCTCCCAGTTGCTCAGAGTTCTCATGTGACTCCATTCTTAGACTGTGTTCTGACGGAGGTCCTTAACTTACTTGCTTTCTCTATGGCCAAGGCAAACATCTAATTCAGAAAACTGTGCACTATACTCCAGTCTCAGCCAGAGGAATGTGAGTGAGATGTGGTTCTTGCCACTTAGGAATGCCCAGGCTGGCTGCAGCCAGTACAAGTCTCCTGGATGCAGCCCCTCCTTGTTGACATGTACTAACCTCACCTACAAATTCAGTTTCACGTTTAGCAAAATTGAAAATATTTGTCTTCCTTATGTAAATTCTTCTTCTAAGATTCCTAGAGAAGTAACCTTTTATCATCTCATTGTATGCGTTGAAAAGGGTGGATTTTTCTTACCGAATGTACTTATTTTAGCATGACAAATTGGCCTTTAATGTTTACATGGAATACTTTTAAGCACAGACATCCTTAATGCTGTTCTTTTAGACCCTACTTTTAGATAGGACTCTAGGCTTTGTACCTGCTGGTAGGAGCCAAGACTTGAATTTGAAGACCTCTTGTCCATGAACTCTAATTCATTGAACAAAGTGTTCAGAGACATCCTAACACCTTAGGGTGAGTGTCCAAGTCCAGGGGTGGCAAGAGCTCAGGACTTATATCTTATTGATGACAGAGAAGTCAAGATAGTCTACAGTCAATGTACAAACACTGGGGCTCGAACAGGATTCGGGCATATATGGAGTTTTTAAATTTTGAGTCACAACCATTAAACTTCTAATTTTATGATCTATTATTCATGGAATAGGGGTCACAGTAAAATTACTAATGCTCTATAACGACTATCCTGACATTGACTTGGGGCTGATTATAAACACCAATAGTAACTACCCAAGTTGGCTTGATCGTCCTATGGTTAATAATTAGGTACCTCTCTTAAAATGTTAGTTGTCATATCTGACACAGGGAGCTACATATTATATATCTGGCCACATATTGAGAAACTAGAATCTCATTTTCTTCTTTCAAAGTCCTGAAATCCTGGCATCTCTGGCTCCGTTGTGGGGAGCTTTATATTAACTAGGAACTGAAATTGGTCAAATCTCTCATGATCATTTTCTATGTCATTTCCACCTGTGAGACTCACATCTGTTTTCTTCATGTGCCCGGTTGTTCGCCACAATTCCTGCCCAGGTGGGAGCTTGCAAGCTGTGATATCCGAAAATGCCAAGTCTGGTAGCCACTTCCACGAGGCCAAACTCAAAGACCTCCTTCTACAGGTTTCCTTGGGACTTAAGTACATCCACAGTTTTGGCATGGTGCACCTGGACATCAAACCCAGTTAGTATCTTTTTTTTTTCTGTCCGTATTCCTTCTGTATTTTGTCTTTTATGAACTATTGTGAAAATGTGCACCTGTGTACCTTCAACCTCAAAGATAGTGTTGTCTAGAATTATTTTCTTCCATTCGCTTCCCATAACAAACTCAGTGAAATATCTTTTGCCATCTTCTTGTTAAGACAGGGGACCCAAGGGGAAAAGACACTTTCTCATATAGATCAAAATATAAAACTAGATGTTAAATTGACCACATAGAAAACTGAGAGTGTGTCAGCTACATTCTGATTGTGTTTGTAACTAATGCTATATTGTCTCTAAGTCAGCCCTGATCAGAGTGAACGGAATGAATGTGTTTGTCACTTTTCAGTGTGACACCTAAGGAGAAGTTATTATTTTGTGGGTTTTGTTTATTTTGAAATGGCATGTAACCATGAGGATGGGGACTATTGGAGTCAGTTCAGCTTAGAGAGGTGTTATCCAGCACTGGCTGTTCTGCTGTGAGGAAAGAGATTACATGTGTACTCAGGAGGTAGATGTAAGTTGATCTCTGTGTCCAAGTCCAGCCTGATCTACATAATGAGTTCCAGGCTAGCCAGAGCTATATAATGAGACAGAGATAGGGAGACAGAATATCACACACACACACACACACACACACACCATAGAAAAATATAACATTCAAAGATGAATAATCACTCTACAACCACACCAGAGGAGGGAAGCTGCAAGGTCATGGCCTTGAAAGGCTCTGTTGGGTGGGAGCTCAGAAATTATTACTTATGTCTACTCTGGTTTTTTTTTTCAGGTAATATCTTCATTTGTAATAAGTCGCAGAGTGACTCTCCTGTAGGTCCAGAAGAGACTGAAAATGAGGCTGACTGGTTTCTCTCTGCTAGTGTGATGTATAAAATTGGTGAGTCTGCTTCTATCCCGTCAGCATAGTACTTTAAATAAGCTGATGACTGCATTCACTTCATCTCCAAGAGAGCAATGTTCTTTAAAACACCCTCTTTCTGTTTTTAAAAGGTGACCTGGGCCATGTGACATCAATCAGCAACCCGAAAGTGGAAGAAGGAGATATTCGCTTCCTGGCTAAGGAGATCTTGCGAGAGGTATACATTAGGGAAATGGGAGTGGAAATCATTTTCTTTTCCACTTTTTAATTTTTTGACATGGAGTCTTGCCATGTTGTCCATATGGCTGCTGCAAACTTGTGGCCATCTGGCCTTAGCTTCCCCAATAGCTGGGACTACAGATGTGCAATGAATCTTATAATTCATTTCAACCTTCTGACTCTCAGACGAAGGCTCATGATGCCCCAAATGAAGAGTAGATATTTGTAATTCAAACTCAACAGTCTCTTTTCCATTCAGAATGGAGACCAAATACCGTAAAGAACTTCCCCCAAAGCACAGGAATGCTATCTCATCAACAATGAATCAATAGTTACACAGTTCCTTCTAAAGGTCCCTCACTATTTCTAGAATTTCTAGAATTCTTAGTCTAGTGGGTTGCATAGGAGAAAGGAAACCCTACCTTCATGGTCATCTTGTCTTTAGCATGTTGATAACCCATCGGCTCTGATCACTAAAATGGCAATAGTCGTTATCCATCTTCTAGAATTCCTGTGAAGTCCGACCCAGCAAGACTGTAACTTCCTTCGGGGTAATACTCAGGGAAAAAAACATTTTCTTGTGATCAGTTATCATCATTATTATCATCAATCAATTAAGCCTCAGTGAATCTGACAGAACAAAATGATGCTGAGATTCTACCTTAGGCTTTCAGGCACAGCAATATTACTAAGGTTTGTTTATGTTCCCTTTAGCTACTTAGGTATAAACCAGCAACTTCAGTACATATAACTGTGCCATAGTTTTGTGAGCTTCCGTGTAATTAGACCTCTGCCAGTCACATTTTAGACTCAACTTACTTGGCAGACTAACTGGTCTCCCTGTCTTCTGTTTTGTAGAATTATCAACACCTTCCCAAAGGAGACATATTTTCCTTGGGGTTAACAATTGCAATGGCTGCAGGAGCAGAGTCATTACCCAGTAACGGTGACATGTGGCATCATATCCGCAAGGGGAACTTTCCAGACGTTGCCCAGGAGCTCTCAGATGACTTTTATGGTCTACTCAAGGTGAACCTCATGAGATGAATTGAAGATGAGACATATTTATTTTAAATGAAATGAGAAGTGTGGTGGTGGTGGAGGTGGGTTAGGTCAATATGAATTTAGTCAGGGTCATGTGAACAGGAGGAAGGAAGTAGGAAGGTCAGAGAAAACAGGACAGATTGGAACTTCTTAAGAAGACTTCTACAATACCCTCATGCGGCTACTTTTTATTTGTTCTTCCTAGTAACCTAGGCAGGTGGCACATCTTTCTGCAGCTGAGGAAATTCAAGCTTAGAGGGGCTCTTGTATTTTGTTGATAATTGGTCATTCTAAATTCAAACCTTGTCTTTCCCTTCCAACATCAGGCTTGCACTGTTGTCAATGGTCAGTTATGACAGAGTTTCTAAAAGAATCACCTCATGAGGATCTTTAAAACAATAAGCAATGCTTTGGTAATTGACAATACCACTTACTTGAGCTACTAGGGAAAAGGCATGATGTCAATTTAAAAACCTGTGATATTGGTCTTTCTACATAAGTATGCATAATGATAATAAAGGGGAATATTATATTGAAACAAAGACAGCTACAAAAACAAAACAAAGCAGTACCAAAAACACACCCCAACAACCTTAATACTACCAGGAAGATTTAGAGTCACCCCCTCAAAAAATCATGGGTTAGCAAACAAGGTTGGTTAGGGTCCCTAACATTGCTTTAGAAATACCTACTTCCTTAAACATTACATTTTTTTACCTGCAAATTTCAAATGCAGTTACTGATTCTTCCTTCTACTTTCATTTTTTCTGTCCTGGAAAGAGGAAAACCTTTTTCTTGCTCTTTTGTTCATAGCCTAATCATTCATTCATATATGTATACACATATATTATGCATGTAAGTGAATCATATCTAGTTCACATTTACTGGGTATCAAAGTGTTAGCCCTGTGCTATGTATACTGTATACTTTATGCTAATTGACTTAACCCTCACAACATCCCCAGGAAGAGGATAGCATTATTCTGGTTTCAAATCAAATGAACTGTAGGACAGTTATAGAGTGGATGGCGGTGTTTGCTCTGAACTCGGATCCCAAGTGGAAGGTTACGGAAAGTCCAGTGTATTTGTCACCCTTTGACACTATTAGTGACACACAGAGAGATGCTCATCTATTAATCACATGGTGATGCTATAATATTCAATTCGTCTTAGGCTACAGATGCTGTCTGCCTTGAGGTAAGTGATCTTTCAGAGTCACTAAGAGACAAAGGAGTACAGTGGAGTGGAAAGGAAACTGAACTGAGTTGGGAGAACTGGGTCTTGGCCTTTCCTATAACTTGGATATAGCTCCAGTTTTTCCCTTTATAATTAAAATATTAGACTAGCAAATCAGCAAACCAGCTAGCTCTCAAACACAACCATTAAATCCAAGTCCTAAGTATAGACGAATGGTTTTATTAGACATGGGTGATCCTTCTGCTGAAGGCAGAACAAGTTTTCACTGAGGAAAAGCAGTTTCACAAGACCCAGCAGCAGATGTTGAACTGAAGTTGGCTTGAATGGGGCGATGATGCCACTATCGAAACTTCTGTTTCTTTCCATGCTCCTAAATCTATCTTCAGAGCATGATCCACCCTGATCCACAGCAGAGACCTTCCGCAGCAGCACTGACCAGAAGTCAAATTCTTTGGCCCTTCCCGGAAAGGACAGATGAACTCCAGAAGCAACTCGATTTGGAGAAGTCCAAGGTAGCCATGCTGGAAAGGTATGTTGGTTGTTGAAACCAAGAAAGGGTCTGTGGGAGCAACTCACAGTGATCTGACTAGGCCAGGGTGTGTCTAGGGATCCAAGTCTATGCACATTCTACACCATCAGACATACGCTCTGCCCACAAGAAACCTGGCAGTGTCTATGTTTTATGGTGTGTGGCTCTGTAGCTCTGTGTCTAGGCAACTTGAGAGAATCCCAGGTAATACAAAGGAAGCAAGAAAAAGAATTGCAAGGAAAGACCAGTTACAAGGGAGTTCTTGGACTCTGAGGGACAGCAGGTATCAAAGGAACTGTTAGGTGAACACCTAAGATAATCTTAGTTTAGTAGAGGCTTGTTTGAGGATCTTAAGTGAGTAGAGACCTCTTTAGAAAATACCAAGCTGCAGGGACAGAAGGCAGACATCGGATCGTGATAACATATTTAGAGAATTATATGTTTTTCTGAGCAAAGAAGACAATCTGACCCTTAATTGACATAGGCCTGTTATCATTTATTAATTTAATCCCTCATAAAACAAATGGGAATTAATTTGGGTGTGACTGGAAGAGGTCATGCAATGGCATTTAAGTAGAATTTTGAAGAAATTCTCAGTTGATTTTTGCATCATATGTGCACTATTAAAGAAAAAGAGGAAAATGAAATATGGTCCCTGCTTGAAAATTGCTTAGAAGTCCAACTTTCTTTAGCTACAAAGTCCCTCTTGGAAGATTAGTTTGAAAACTTGAACAGACACTCCTAAACCACTTCATACTCATTGCTCTTTTTGAGTTTTTATTTTAAATAACAAACTACAAAATACCCAAATATGATGCTCAGAAGCATGACAATTTCTTGAAGGTGTGTGTAGTGCTCTGTGAAGCTCAGTTGGAGGTACAAGTGTCTGTCATTCTTCAGTATAAATGATCATAGAAACCACAGAGATGGGGCAGATGGTACCTTGAAACTGTCTAGACCAGTGAGTCTCAACCTTCCTAATGCTTGCAACCCTTCAATACAATTCCTCATGTGGTGTTGACCCCACCCATAGAATTATTTTCATTGCTACTTCATAACTGTAATTTTGCTACCTTTATGAATTGTAATTAAATATCTGTATTTACCTATGGTCTTAAGCAACCCCTATGAAAAAGTCATTCGACCCCCAAAGATGTCATGACCCATGGGCTGAGAATTGCTGGTTTAGACCAAAGGGTGGTAAACTTGTTCTAAAGGACTAGATATTAAATGGTTCACGGTTTCTAGTACGTATGATTTCTCCTGTAATGATTCAATCCTGTCTTCGTTGAGTGAAAACAGCCACTGAATATATATTACATATTTATAGTATATATATCTGCTATATGTATATCAGATAACAATAATTAACTGTGTTTCAATGAGATCTGTGGTTTGTTGCCCTCACAGTTCTTATATTTTGCCTAAAGAGTTGTTTACTTATAATTTTAATTTTAAAGGTGATTTATGAACCATGAATGTATCATTCTTTTTAGTGATAGTAAGAATCATTAAAACTGATTCTTCATTCTGCAAATATCTTGGGCTTGATTTTGTAAAACTGAAATAAAAAGAGATTAGCTGTGATTATAAATACTGCCTTAAACTAGGGAAGGATTTATCCAGCCTGTCTCGATTGATTGCAGGGAACTGAAAAAAGTTCAGCAATCTCAGAGAGACAGACAGCATGGGGACCCTGTGATCTCTGGGCCCACGAAGACTTGAAAAGCACAAGACATCTGATGAGAGGAGTAAGGAACCCTCGAGATTAACCTGTGGGAAATTATAACCAGCCACTTCTCACCAGCCAGCCTTTGGCCACAAGCCTTCAGAGGACATACTGGATGCAAGAATGAGCCAGCTTGAATGTACAAAGACTTCAAAAGCCATCTGGTGGAGCATCCACAGGCAAGGCCACAAACTTCTAGGGTGTCTTAGCAACGGCCTCACATCTTGCCTACTGTTGTATCTCTAGTGCCATTTACTCAGGACTTCTGGTGAAGAATGAGAAACATATCCCATAATTGAAAGAGGAACAGAAACACACTATTTTAGCCTTTCAGTCAAGAAGCTGCCATAACTTATTCTTTGCTGTGGATCCAGGGAACTTTCTCTGTACATAGAAAGGAATAAAATACGGCTTTAAATACCAGCTCACAAGAGAAAGCTGCCTATACTTCAGCAGTGCTTCCCAGGGTGCATCTACTTCTCCAACCGCCAGACCTTTGATCAGGGAGTTTGCCCAATATATCTTCCGGATAGAAGCAGTCTCTTATCTGATTTTGTATTAGTCAATAAAATGCTATCATTATATGAAACAATTAGAAGTAAGACCATAAAGTGGACATCTCTGAGCTGCTTACTAACTTCTCAAACAAAATCAGCAGAGGTCTAGGGAAGTTGGATGTACTTGCTCGCCATGTGTTCTAGCCCTCCTGTGGTTGTTCCCCACGTCCTGCTCTCCTGTGGCTGACTCCTATTAACTTTTTGAATATCATCACCAGGTTCTCTTGATTTTGTTTAACCAGAACTTCTTTGTTTTCTGTGCTTTTAACATATTTTAATCCAAATCTTTCCCTCTGTGTACATTTAGAGAAACAGAACATTTTTAAATAAAGACTTTTATATTGTCCAAAGACAAACATGGGTAAAGCATTCTTCTTTGTAATGTGAAAGGACAAAGAATGTGAACTTTATTTTACAATTTCTTATAATTAAGAGAAAATGTAGGTCAGTAGTAGCATGTTTTTCACTTCTTCCAAGAAGACCACACCTATTCCAATAAAACCACACATCCAATCCTTCTAGTCCTTCCCAAACAGTTCCACTCCCTGATAACTAAACATTCCCATATGAGTCTATAGGGGCCATTCCCATTCAAACCACCACATGCCTCATCTCTCTCTCTCTCTCTATGGAAAGGGTTCCTGGTTCCCCTATAATGACACTGGAGCAAATTGTAAATTTTTGTATCTCTAGCAAAACATTTGAGCCATTTTTTCAGTTTAGTTAAATTTTTTAAGGTTCCTCAACATTTCAGAATATTTGAATTTGCCTGAAATATTTCCATTCATGTTTTTTTTCTGTCCTGAGACTTGAGCCTTTGTGAAGCTTGTGTTTGTTCAAGGCAACCTGTATATTCTTAGCAGGTTCTTCACATTCTAGGAACTTATCAATGGGGGCGAGGCTCCTTCATGGTCATTTATATTACAATATGCAAAAGGGGGAGAGGGTGACTAGTTGAGGAGAGAATCTTTAAAGTGTGTACATTTCAGATGCTGAGGATACTGACAGCTGACCAAGGCTGAAGTGCATGCTGCATTGGGAAGGATCCACTAACAGGAGAAATGCTTCACTTACAGTTCCTCCCTGAAATTGTACAACTACACATATAATACAATTTTTGTCAAAAAGGAAAATAAATGAAGGAGGAGTGATGGAGGAAGGTCATTGGTTAATTATAATAAAGAAACTGCTTGGCCCTCATAGGTTAAAATATAGGTGGGAGGAGTAAACGGAACAGAATGCTGGGAGAAGAGGAAGTGAGCTCAGAGGCCATGCTCCCCTCTCCCGGGCAGACGCACACGATGAAGCAAGCCGCCAGGTCAGACATGCTGATTCTTTCCCGGTAAGACTGGTGCTACACAGTTTATTAGAGATGGGTTGATCAGGATATCAGAATTAGCCAGTAAGGGCTAGAGTTAATGGGCCAAGCAGTGTTTAAATGAATACAATTTGTGTGTTATTTCTGGTGTAAAGCTAGCCATGCGGGAGCTGGGCTGTGGGAAGAGGCTCACAGCTCCTACTACAGAGGAGCACTCGCAACCTCTCCAGTCAAGCATCAAAGAGAATGTGGCGACTCCTTCTGCGTGGAAACAGGGCTGAGCCAAGGCAGCCCATTCATTCAGGTGCTATTTATACAGTTTTAAGTGTTTGCCCAGGGGTGCCCTCAATTTGCAGGGAAATGCCTACATTTTTCTTTAAACAACATTTGCTACATTCTTCACATACAAGAAAGGGTGTGTAACCTGGAAAAACAATTACGAATACCCCAAAGTTCAAGTCAGGCACCATTAAAACAAAGCTTGCAATAGGGGCAGGGAATTTCACTCTGGAGGCAAAGGTAAATCTAGTTTTTCCTTTGCCTTGTCCACAAAGCAGAGGCAGGATTTTAAAGAGGAAGCCATTGGAAAGCATGGAAGTAATGTAGTAGGTGGGGTGTGTTGTTATCAAATAGCAGTGCAAGGCTCCAATACTGTATCTTTCTATTTCAGGAAATCAACTTTGCAATGGTGTAAATATGGGGAGGGGGGTAAACATCTATAAACATACCATTAGTGAGCCAGACTTCAGAACAGGTTAAAATTAAGTTGAAAATCATGTTAAATAGTTCATATTTTTTTCTTATGTCTTAAAAGGGCAACTGTTTTAGCTGGGGTTTCTATTGTTGTGAAGAGATGTCATAACTACAACAGTTCTTAAAACTAGCTGATTATGACCTTGGGAGTGGTCCTGAGAGGCAGGGGGTTGCCCCCTTGTAATCTTCACTGGTATTTTCGGAATTTTCTGTGACACACTCCCTGCCAATTCCGGATCACTGGGCTGTGGTTTCTTCCCTTAAAAATCTCTTCTCCCTGTCACTCGGGGTCGAACTCTCCCCCTGCGTGGGTTATGAGTCTCGGCCCCAGTGCACTGGTTCTCGTCTCAGCTCATCATTAAAGCCTCCTGTGATTGCAGCAAGGACGGTCTCTCGTGAGTTACTTGGGGGAGGGGGGTCGTATTATCCCGAGACTTGAGTGAGAGTCTCTCCAGCACTGGGGGTCTTTCACTATAAAATGTTTAGAAATTTAAAATTGACTTTTAATAGTTTAGAAAAGTACACAAAACCATGCAATATAAAGGCCCACTTTCCTTGTGCCTCGGAACCTGTATTTAATAAAAATGTTAACTATTTTGCTCCTCACGTATTTCTTGAATTAAATTTTGACTTAACATATTAACGTATCCAGATCACCTAGTTTTTAATAGCCCTTCAATTATACGATTTTAGCCCTTGTTTTAATTCTCCAGTCTTACTGCGTTAGGAAACTTGGGGTTTTAGCTCCTCCAGGGGTTGAACTATGTTTTATTTCACCTACCTTGCTCCCTGTCTCAGGCTGGGAACACCATCAAATAATTTCAGTTCAGGGCTGGAAATACAGTTCAGGGGCAGAGAGTTTGGTTAGCCCGTGCGAGGGCACTGCTCTGTCCAATAAACAGCAGAAAAAGAAAGAAAGCCCGTTATTCGCACTTCAAATTCATTGTCCGCTTAAATTTCTTTAAAATTTGTTCAGTTATTCTAAACCCCTGAGGGTGGAAATCATTCAGGGAAGGAAAAAACAAACAAACAAACAAACAAACAAACAAAAAAAAACAAACCTACGCCAGAAGCGTTGTCGACCCACCCACTTCCGTCTGGCAAGACGTTCCAGGAACTTCTAAGTTGAGGGGTCGTGTTTCCCTGGATATCAGCCGGTAGCATTTCAATGGCGTACACCCTCGCTTTCCTGTTTTCTCTTGCCTTTTGGGAGCTCTGCGAGCTCTGTGCGCCGGAAGCGGGCCCGTGGCCGGGTTGCGGTCAGGTGTTGCGTCTCAGGTGAGGGCAGGGGGCAGCTAGAGGCAGAAATGTGTGAATTGTGTGTGCCGAGTGCACGCGCTCGTGCGGGAGTCGGGAGGAGGTGTGCGGTTCCTTGCAGGAGGCCGAGTGTCCCCCTCTGCTGCCCGTGTTGTCTGCGAGCGCCAATTGAGGGAAAGGGCAGCAGCTTCTCCCCGTGGCGAGGCTGGGGGCGGGGGGAGGGAGGGCATACTCTGCGCTACCGGGAGCAGAGACGCTTGAGTTTTTACTGTAACGACTTTTGCATTTGAGCCCTTTAATAGCAGTGTTTATTGAGCCCTTACCGTTCGCTAGATATAGTTTTAGGGACTTAGAATAACTGAACAAATTTTAAAAATTCTCTAAGAGAACTTGTATTTTAAAGAAATTTTAACAGACAATGGGTTGAAAGTGAGAATAACAGGTTTTCCTTTTTTTCTCCTCCTGCTGGTTATTGGACAGAGCAGTTAGTTGAGATTCCAAACTCCCAGTTTCTTTTGTCTCTTTCTGTTTTTGTTTTAAAAGGAAAGGAAATCACCAAATTGCGAAGATGTCATTGCAAATCAAGTGCACATACAATCGGATGCACTTAGAATCTTAGGACTTAGCGAACGTGTGTTCGCGTTAGCTTTATCTTCTCTCTCTTTTTTTCTTCAGGAAAAGGCCAACGGGTAGATTGTAAGAAAAACCGAAGTCATGTTTCGAAGACCTGTGTTACAGGTAGTCATTTTTCTACATTTTTCTACATTAGTTAGTGCTGTGTTTTCATCGTCTGTAGCCACTGATTTTCCTTTTGCTTTCGGATACATAAGCAAAAGAGTCTGAAGCTTACCCATCATCTTACATGTGTTTATTTGGTGGGAAAGGTTCAGGATGGATTGTGTGTGTGTGTGTTGCTCATAATGTTTACTGAATCAAAAAGGATTTTAAAATGTATTCGCATATGTAATATGAATCATTAATTTAACAAATGTTTTTGTTACTTGTGCTTATGTCAGTATATGTATTTCGTTATTTAAAGTTTTTATTATATTATTTATTTTTTTGAGATTGCATCTCATATACCTGCCCCTACTTTCCCAGTGCTGGTAATTCAGGCATGCACCACCATAGCTGGCTTTGTTGTTGTCGTCATTTTTCCATATGACTCTGGTCTCTTTTCTGACCTTCTGTCCCTTCTCCTTCCCACTCCCACCTCTACCAGCCACAAATATCATTCTGCCACCTAGTTGGGTGTCCTCTGCTCAGGCCAGTCTTCAGAAGGCTTCCATTGCCATTCTTCCTCATAGTGGCATGTGGGTACCAAGTTGTAAATTCTAATGTAAAACCTATGTGAAGGCTAATAAGTCAAATTCTTATAAAAACCTGTTGTCATCTCCATCTTACTCTCTA